GGAGTATTTCTACTCCCCCCTGGTTGGGATGCTAGTCCATCGCAGGGTTACTCCCAGCATTAAGTTCGCCGGTACCCATTTATACACCTGGGTGGAGAGAGGCACTGTGAGAGTAAAGTGTCTTGCCCAAGAACACAACAAAATGTCCCCGGCCAGGGCTCGAACCCGGACCGTTCTATCCGGAGACGAGCGCACTAACCATGAGGCCATCGCGCCTCCCACAATGCCCATCTAAACCCAGGTAATTTTACCAGCCACAAAAATTTCTAATCTTTTAAAAGTATTTATTCAGAGTAAAATGGTTCACTTCTGATAAACTACCTTCTGTTCATGTACATGTACAAGGGTTGATCAGAATAACACCTTATTATCCATTTTTTTCTCTGTTATCTGTCAAGTCGTTGCTTACAGGAGGTTAAAACCGCAAGATTTCAAACTTTTAGCTCTAAAAGTGGTCGCCGTCACTTACGAGTGGTGGTCACTCACAATAGGTTTTAAATGTAGTGATTTGACATGGAAACTTTTTGTATTTTGAAAAACCAGTCGCTTACGAGAGGTGGCCACAACCGGGGATTAAAATCCCTACTCAATCTCGATTGAATTACTGCACACAATACGCATGAGAAACAACTTTGTCAAAATATCAGGGATCAACGGACATGTTGATATGGGTCCTGCCTATGAATTGTTGCTATCTGACAGGCAGAAAGTGCAGAACAGGAGTTGAGGTGGCATATTTCCATCCAATGGAGAAGTCCATTGATTTTATCTTGAGCTCTTCCTTCTCTCGTTTTGCAGTTTGTAGCTTATCGATAGTATAGACAACCACGAAATATAAGCAACTGTATACAGTTTAAAAAGACGAGGGAACAGAGTTCTAAAATTGAAGTCTTCGACACTGAAACGTATCAATGGCATCTGTCGAAGAGTGACAGACTGACGTATGTCCAGTACAAGGTACAAGGCAGGCACTGCGCAGGGGGAGGGGCTGGAAGGGCTTTCGCCCCCACTTTTCACGAGATTTAAATTATGTCATTCGCGATTTAGTCTCAGATATTCGATTTAGTCTCAGATATTCGTGGTGGTTTATCATATGACAAATACATAGATATCAGAAGCAAGGAGCAATTAAAATTATTATTAAAGTTATTTTTACGTTTGTTGGTTTTAGATTCATTTCCAGCCATTTCAGTGGACTTCAAATCAATTTTCGCATTTAAGCGCCCCACTCAAAAACCCACTGCGCGGAAAAGGGCGCACATAAACTAAAACTTTAAAATTTATCATCCGCTTATTTTCAAGCTATTGAAATACGAAATATATATTTTTAAAAATGTTTTGGACCCGCGACAATTTTCTAAACCCGCGACAATTTACCCGCGACCCGCGACACGCGCTGATTAGATTATCTCGATGGTAGCCTGCGAACAGGCTCCCAGCGAGGGCGGGAAAAATATCCGGCGAGCGAAGCGAGCCGTTTAGTGTGAAATAAAGAATTCGCGAGCCGTTTACCGCTTTCGGCTTGCCCCACTCGTCCTAGATCACAAAAGCCACATTCGGCTAGCTCGCACTAAACCCAACTGGGAGCCTGTTCGCAATCTCGGTGGTCGATGTATTTAAAAACTTAATCAATCTTCCACAGCTTTTACCTGTAGAGTGTGAATGGCAAACTTAACAAAAAGGTCGTTCTGGTATACCAGGATCTGGTATACCCTCTGATTGGTTCATTTTGACAGGATATGTCAACATTCGAGCGTTACCTACGCAAATGAGAAATGCGATATGGCAGTCAGTGTAAAATGGGATTGACGGGCCTGCAAGGCTAATACGGTCCGTGACATTTGTACATTTACCGTTCTCTTCTCGGTCTCTTCTCGGTCTCTCGACCTTTCTTTCTTTCAAGCGTGTTTATGAAGGGCATTTCATGTTGTGTTATTAGGGCCCGGCTGTTTGATTAGTTTCTTCTTTTCACGGATATCATATTTATCATTTTGAATCATTTATCTTCGACCGATTTTTCTTCGGAGACTGCGGTAGCTTCACTTCGAGTAAGAACGCCTTGATTTGCCGGTCGATACCTGTCGAGTTTTAGCACCTTTCGCTCGCGCAAGGAGTATCTCCAGTCGACGATCTAGCTTTCGTTTGTCGTTTTGGCAAGAATTATTTCTCAACACATCTGCTGCGGACAACTAAAAAGCACAAGCCGGCGGTCCTGTTACGGGTTCCTGTAGGCGGTCTATAAGTGGGCGGAAGAAGCTTTTCTTAAGTTTGTCCAAGGGCGTTTTTTCCCTTTCTCTCGCCGCGTTGCTCCCCTATTTTTTCACTCGCCGTTCTTTGCGATGCCCCCAACTGACCAGAGTTTGGTCCGCTCAGATTTGTGGTTAATCGATGGCACATGGCTTCGGAATTTTAAGGAAGAGAAATTACATAGTCCCTGGGCCAAAATATGCTTTCTTTTTGATGACCCGAGTATGTCAATTTTTAGAGATTTTATGGTGCCCCGAGTATGTCAATTTACAGAGATTTTACGGTGCCCCGAGTATGTCAATTTACAGAGATTTTACGGTGCCCCGAGTATGTCAATTTACAGACATTTTATGGTGCCCTGAGTATGTTAATTTACAGACATTTTGCAGAGATTTTATGGTGCCCCGAGTATGTCAATTTACAGAGATTTTATGGTGCCAGAGTATGTCAATTTACAGCGATTTTGCAGAGATTTTACGGTGCCCCGAATATGTCAATTTTGACATTATCTTTTGGCTGGCGCGCAAAGAGGACGTCGAGGAAGACAAAACAATAGCCCATTGAAATTTTTTATGATTTCTGTGATACTCTTAGAAATAGGAAAACATACGTGATTTTCATCTAAGCCTCTTTCAAATGGTAGGTGAATGACGGGATATTACAGTTGTCACAAAGCTGATAAGTAATGGTAATAGGACTGAGTGGAGTCCAATTCGATCTGTTATCATAAGAGTGATAATAAAATCGGACGACCGCACAGCGGGAGTCCGATTTGTTTATCACGAGTATGATTACAGACCGAATTGGACAACACTAAGTTTTATTACCAATTAATCATAAAAATTACAATTTCTGAGAAAAGAAGAATAACCAAGTTATGAAGGTAGGGGAAAAATTGCATTAAAATACCTACAAAGGAGATGTAAAAATTCTAAGGCCACCGCGCCTCCTACCGGCAAGTAGGCGCCAAAAACACCAAAGCAAGCGCGCACACGCACGCACGTAACTACAACTTTGAATGTGATTGGTTGATTTAAACTACAACTTTGAATGTGATTG